TTGCATGACACTGGCCAGGTGGATGTATTTAGATCTTTTAGGGTGAAAAAGAACATGATGCGAGTGTGGTGCAGGTGAGTGAGGCATTACGCAGAATGAAGGGGGTTAGTAAATTAAAGCCGCTGGACTAGACGGGATGGCATAACAAAAATGTTTAAAAACGGGGGGATATAGGTTGTGAGTGGTTGGTATTTTGTTTAATAAATTTATGAAAGGAGAAGCGACGGTGCCCAGGGGCTTGCAGCCAGAGTAGAGGTGTATAGTTCCTTCATTAAAAAGGAAGGGGGAATAAAAATTATTTGTAAAAAATTTTAGCAGAATAAGATTATGAGTAAGTAGATTGGTAGACAGCAACGTCCCAGGGAGGTACACCGTCCCTGCCAACAATGAGTGTAAAATGAAAGCTGTAATTGTTTTACATGATTGGTAGGATGCTGTGTCCTTTTTTTCTGTATCATAAACATGCAAGATTTTCAGTTTACATTCCTTGCTTCCTTCTACGACATTTAGGTCACACTACACATACATATACAAGCACTATTTATACACCACCCCTCTGGGGTTTTTCTGAATTTTCTTTCTAGTTTTTTGGTTTGTTCTTGTTTATATCCTTTATCTCATGGGGAAGTGGATAGAATTCTTCTCCGTAAGCCATGCGTGTTGTAAGAGGCGACCTAAATGCCGGGGGCAAGGGGTAGTAACCCCTTCTCTAGTATAAATTACTAAATTTAAAATGGGTAACTTTTCGTTTTCTTTTTTGGGCACCTTCCTTGGTGGGGTTACGGGCTGGTTTGTTGGAAAAAAAAAAATCTAAAAAAAATTCTTGTCTTGTTTTCTTTATCTCTTTGCCCTCTTGGGGACAGTGGAAAAGAATCTTTCCTCCGTAAGCCATTGCGATGTTGTATGAGGCGACTAAAATGCCAGAGGGGAAGGAAAGGGGCTAGTAACCTCTTCACCTGTATATACAGTGGTCCCTCAATAATCGTCCGGCTGGAACAGTCGTCCATTTGGAAATAGCCTGTTTTTTCGTCTAATTATTGGCTCGCATAATGGTTTCAGTTTTAACTCGCTAATTCGTCCTTCGTCCGGGACGGATCACTCACGCTCTGAGCGCCTGAGGCCTGCCTTTCCCAGCCAGATGTGCCATGTTACCAGTAAAGTGACTGTACCACCTCACATGCTCCTACGAATATTTCATAATATTCATTGGTTTTAGGGCTTGCAAGTGCTAAATAAGCTACCATGGCTCCAAAGAAAGCTTCTAGTGCCAGCTCTTTGGTAAAGATATATGTGAGAAACACATTTAATTTATGAAAAGTTTGTAGAAAAAATTACAAGATGGTGGTTGCTAGAGTGGAAAGCAGTGTGTGATAGTGGTTGATGAACATAAGAACATAAAGGAGGATCACTGCAGCAGGCCTGTTGGTCCATGCTCAGCAGGTCCTTTACAATTCATCCCACTAACGAAACATTTTCCCAACCCAGTCCTCAATGCTACTCAGGAAATAAGCTCTGATAACTCTATCCACTCATTTGCAAGTCCCAAGTGTTTACAGTGAAACATATAGGTGAACAGTATTTAAAAGGCTCAAGAGGTTTTTGTGGCATTTAAGGATTTGGAAAAGGCATATGACAGGGTGGATAGGGGGGCAATGTGGCAGATGTTGCAAGTGTATGGTACAGGAGGTAGGTTACTGAAAGCAATGAAGAGTTTTTACGAGGATAGTGAAGTTCAGGATAGAGTATGTAGGAGAGAGGGAGATTATTTCCCAGTAAAAGTAGGCCTTAGACAAGGATGTGTGATGTCACCGTGGTTGTTCAATACAGTGGACCCCCGACTTACGATATCAATTCATTCCGGAAGTCTGTTCGGGTGCCGTTACCAAACGAATTTGTTCCCATAAGGAATATTGTACAGTGGACCCTCAACCAGCGATATTAATCCGTTCCTGAGAGCTCATCGTTAGTTTTTTTTTTTTAGTGTATCAAAATTATCGTAGTAAGTTAATTTTCCCATAAGAATCTATAATGGAAAATCAAATTAATCCGTGGCACGACACCCAAAAAGTATTGAAAAAAATTTTTTTTACAACATGACTTATTAATTTTAATACACACAAACTGAAGATTTACATGCCACAGTTTACATGAACTTACCTTTATTGAAGATTGGTGATGATTGTATGGGATGGGACGGAGGGGTTGAGGTGTTAGTGTTTAGAAGGGAATCCCCTTCCATTAGCACTTGAGGCCCCCCCCCCCCCCCCCCCCCCCCCCCCGGGGGACAGCAAGGTATTTTTTTGGGGTTACTTCCCTTGTATTTTAATGCCATAGGCCAGCTTCAGAGTCACTGGACTTCTGTGCATCAACATATCTGTCCATAGATACTGTACCTTCGTTCCTTTATGAATTCCTGGAAGTGGTTCACATACATTGTCAGTGTTACAGGTTGCCAACACGGCTGGCAATAGCTGTGTCAGGGTGATTTTCATCAAAAATTGGTTGTGCGCTTCAAGCCACTTTGCACACTTTTTCCTTGTTTATCTTAGATGTTGGCATACTTCTTCAATTTCTCTCTCCCCTCCTCGAAGCAGTTTCTCCTCAGGTCAGCCCTCTTGCTGTTCTAGATGATCTAGCAGCTCACCAGTGGTTAGTTCTTCACTGTCCTCCACCACCAACTCTTCCACTCTCCCCACTATCTCCAACCAAGACTTCCCCCCCAATTGCCACAATGGATTCCTCAACTGGCATAGGATTTTCTCAGGGTTAGCCTCAACCTTCAAAATCCCTTTTGTCTACACTTCTGGCCACCCAGTATTTTCCAAGCAGAGTTCAATGTCCTCTTAGTCACTTCATCCAAGCCTTACCTTTAACTGTTTACTCAATTGAGGATGGTAAAATGATCTTTCAAAACTCTCTTAGAGTCAGTTGAGTTTTGAGGTCACTACAAAGCACTTTCATAATAGCCTTTTGTAGTACAGTTTCTTGATTGTTGAGAAATAACATGCTGGGTCCTGGGGCTGCAGGAGAGGTGTGGTATTTGGAGGCAACAAACTTCACCTTACAGATGAAGCTCATGTCCCCAGAAAGTCGCTCTGCCAAGTTGAGGATGACCAAGAAGCTTTGTCTAATCCGGGAGGCCACTTATAAGGTCTAATTTCTTTTCAATTAAGGTAATTTTTCACATTGGGGGGCAAATGCATGATTATCGTGTATCAGTCATAGAAAAAGTCCCTTAGTGACCCTCTGCCTTCTGTTTGCCCTCCACAGCACACACAAATTAGCCTTGAGGACATTGTTTTTCACAGAACATCTCGGGGGAGTTTCAGAAGTGATACACCAATAAAGGCTTCACTTTGCAATCACCACTAGCATTGGCACACATCAACAGAGTAAAGCCTGTCAGCAGCCAAGTGATGTACAATGAATAGACTGTAAATTGTTTTACTGCTGGTAGGATTGCTGATGTTTTTTCGGTGGTTCTTAAACATGTAAGGTTTCAGGTACGTCATGCTACTTTACTTTTCACTTAGGTCACAATACACATACTTGAAACAAGCATATATATACACTCCCCTCTAGGTTTTCTTTTTGTTCTTAACTAGTTCGTGTTCTTGTTTATTTCTTCTTTTCTCCATGGGGATGTGGAACTGAAATCTTCCTCCGTAAGCTAGGCGTTTTGTAAGAAGGCGGACCTAAAATGCAGGAGCTAGGGGCTAGTACCCCTGCTAATGTATATACGTATTACTAAATGTGATTGGTGTAAACTTTGTTTTTCCTTTTGGGCCACCCCGCCTCTGTGGGTTACGGCCGCAGTGTGTTGAAAGAAAGAAAGGATGTAAAAGAAAAAAATTAAAAGTGAATATAGGAAAGAGTAAGGTTATGAGAATAACAAAAAGATTAGGTGACAAAAGATTGGATAACAGATTGAAGGGAGAGAGTATGGAGGAGGTGAATGTATTCAGATATGTAGGAGAGGACGTTGTCAGAGAAGGGTCGATGAAGGATGAGGGTGAATCAAAGAAACTGATGAGGGGAAAAGGGTGGTGGTGCACTTTAGGACGTTGTGGAGACTAGAAACTTTGTCCGTGGAAGCAAAAGAGGGTTATGTAGAAGAGTATAGTTGTACCAACACTCTTGTATGGGTGTGAAGCATGGGTGATGAATGTTGCAATGAGGAGAAGGCTGGAGGCAGTGGAGATGTCATGTCTGTGGGCAATGTGTGGTGTGAATATAATGCAAAGAATTCGTAGTTTATTACGTTTGGAAAAGTAGGAGGTGTGGGTTTAGCAAAAGTATTATCCAGAGGGCTGAGAAGTGGCTGTTGAGGTGGTTCGGACATGTAGAGAGAATGGAACAAAACAGAATGACTTCAAGAGTGTATAAATCTGTAGTGAAGGGAAGGCCTACGAAGGGTTGGAGGGAGTGGGGTAAAGGTGGTTTTGTGTGCGAGGGGCTTGGACTTCCAGCAAGCGTGCGTGAGCGTATTTGATAGGAGTGAATGGAGACAAATGTTTTTTAATACTTGACGTGCTGTTGGAGAGAGAGCAAAGTAACATTTATGAAGGGATACAGGGAAACCGGCAGGCCGGACTTGAGTCCTGGAGATGGGAAGTACAGTGTCTGCACTCTGAAGGAGGGGTGTTAATTTTGCAGTTTTATAAACTGTAGTGTTAGTGGACGAGTCTGGGAGTGTGTGTAAAGGTAGAAAGTTGAAAGTGAACATAGAAAAGAGTAAGGTGATGAGGGTATCAAATGATTTAGATGAAAGAAAAAACTGGAATATCAAATTGGAGAGGAGGAGTATGGAAGAAGTAAATGTTTGCAGATATTTGCGGAGTTGACGTGTCAGCAAAATGGATATTTGAAGGATGAGGTTTTAAACCATAGACGTGATGAAGAGAAAAAAAAGTTGAGTGGTGCCATTGAGGTATATGTGGAGACAAAGAACTGGATCTATGGAGGCACAGAAGGGAAATGTATGAAAGTATAGTGGATACCAACACTTCTTATTTGGGTGTGAAAGCTTGGGTGTAATGCTGAAGCGACGGAGGCGAGGGGGAGATGTCTGGTCTAAGGGCAAATGTGTGGTGTAAATGTTAATGCAGAGAATTCGGAGTTGAAAATTAGGAGAAGGTGTGGAGTTAATAAACGTATTAGTCAGACGGGCTGATTGAGGGGATTGTGAGGTGGTTTGGTCATTTTAGAGAGAATGGAATCATATTTAGAATGACATGGAGAGAGTTATTAATCTGTAGGGAAGGAAGGGGGGTAGGGTCTGTCTCAGAAGGTTGTGAGGGAGGGATGTAAAGTGGTTTTGTGGGCGAAAGGGGCTGAATGCCAGCAACTGTGTGAGTAGGTGTTAAGATAGGAGTGATGGAGACGAATGGTATTGGGACCTGACGTGCTGTTGAGTGTATGCAGTAATATTTAGTGATGGGATTTCAGGGGAAACAAGTTGATTTTTTATATAGCCGGACTTGAGTACTGGAAATGAGGAAGTATAGCCTGCACTGTAAAGGCGGCGGTGGGGTTTGGGTGTAGTTGACAGTTTGGAGGAATATGGTGAGTATCTTTTACGTATATGCTACTAAAAAACTGTCGTGTTCTGGGCACTCTGCAATACAGTTCTTGATTATGGATGAGTGAGGTGAAAGTGTTGAATGATTATGTATGAGTGAGGTGAAAGTGTTGAATGATGATGAAAGTATTTTCTTTTTGGGGATTTTCTTTCTTTTTGGGTCACCTGCCTCGGTGGAGCCGGCCAACTTGCTAAAGAAAAAAAAAAACGAGATTCTCAGTGTTTTCCTTAGAATATTAGTGATCTACTGCAGTTAGAGTAAATTGAATTACGAGCTAGCTCCTGGAACGGATTAAACTCATAAGTCAAGGTTCCACTGTATTTAACAATCAAATCCATATTATCGCAGGGGATACATTCCAGAGTTTTCCTTTCTCAGTGTGGATTCTGTTAGTGCTCATATACCCAAAACATTTTTCCTATTAACATATTGGGAACAAACTGATACTAAAATACTGAAGTGAAAAGGTAAAGGTGTTCTGATGGCCCTAGCAATAATGATGATAAGTATAAAGATAACAGAGAGATGAATAAGAGAGGCAATGAGGGATGTGAAAATATTGTATGTTGGCTGCCAATGCATAAAACAAACTGCATGATCATCCTCCTGTGCACTTATCAATAAGACTTAAAATTATGTACTACTACTATACTACTAGTGAACATACCAAACAGTGAGTGAGAGGGGCAATGAAAGAGGAAGAAAGGATAGCTGAATTTTTCCATACATAGGCTACCACTGTTGGTAAACAAACCATTATTTCCTATCATGTACTTATCACAGCTATGGTAAGTACATGATATAAAGTGGTACAAATTTGTGGAGTGTTGTGGTGAGTGGCTGAGGATGGTGAATGTCCAGGTGTACGGGTCTCCCTTATACTGGCATAGCACACAGAAAATGGTATATACACAAGTCATAACAGCCACTTCCATAGCTAAGGGTTTGTAAAAATACGAACTGATCCTCCATACCTCCTCCATGTTCATTGTAAGCTATTGAACTATTTTTACAATAAGGAGGAAGGGACTAATGAAATATTGAGCATCCTTAATGCCCATCCTGGCAGCAAACCAAAACACAATTCAAGTTGGTCTGTATTAGCTGAATTATGGGGTTGACTTCAGTTACTACAATCGTCACACAGCTGGTGATTCTTTAGAGACAACAACTAGTTGGTAAACAGATTTCAAACTCTCTTCAAATGTTGTTATTCCACTGCAGCATTTACACTTATATTGTATGTTGAGAAGGGTCTCCTGAGTCCAAAATATAAAGATGTCTCTTATCTGTGTTTCAGCTTTCTGACCAGATGTTTCTCACTTTTCTAGTGATTATGACTAATTCAAGCAAGGGCTAAAAGCTACAGCTTAATAATTTAAAATTAATTATATATATTCCAGAATGTCTAAGATGGTAATATTTGGTTGATTAAATGGTTCAAGAGAGCTTCCATTAAAATCACAGAACCCATCGAAGGTGAATCCTAAAACTCACAGGCCAGTGTGCTAGCCACTCAGCCACCTAGTTCTAATAAGATTCATCCAACAAGGATGCATTATGTAGGTAGTAGGTTGGTAGACATCAACCACCCAGGGAGGTACTACCATCCTGCAAAGTTCAGGTACGTCTTGCTACTTCTACTTACACTTAGGTCACACTACACATACATGTACAAGCATATATATATATATACACACCCCTCAGGGTTTTCTTCTATTTTCTTACTAGTTCTTGTTCTTGTTTATCTCCTCTTATCTCCATGGGGAAGTGGAACAGAATTCTTCCTCCGTAAGCTATGCGTGTTGTAAGAGGCGACTAAAATGCCAGGAGCAAGGGGCTAGTAACCCCTTCTCCTGTATAAATTACTAAATTTAAAAAGAGAAACTTTCGTTTTTCTTTTTGGGCCACCCTGCCTTGGTGGGATACGGCTGGTTTGTTGAAAAAAAAAAAAAAGGATGCATTATAGATCTATTACTCTGACTGTCCTTATTCCAAAGAATGAAAACTAGCTCACAAAATGTTGCCCTACCAAAGTTTTTTAAATTTCCCTGAAACTAAATAAGACAACTAACCCCAAAAAGCAAAAAAAGGATTTTATTTCTAAGGAGAAGATTTGTTACAATAAAAAAATTTCTACTTACCAGTGAATCCAAAAAGGCTCACTATACCTGCACGTAACCTTGCCCGTTCCCCGACAAAGGTCAAAGGTTTAGACGAGCATGCCCCATGGGGGGTACTGTTGGGCACCGGCACCTGTTTCGGAAGTACTTGATGCACCCCTTACTGAGTTACGGGAATACTACGAATGAGGTTGTTGTTGATGAGGAAAGCCATGGGCCCCACCCAACCCCACCAGCTTACACCTGGGTACAGGTCATCCATCTGTAAAAACATACAAAAACCATCTCTTAAAAGCATTTGCCAAGTGCATTACTCTACTTTTTTAAAAAAAGTTTTTTTCTATCAACTTTTTTATTTTTTTCTTCCATATTGAACTCCAATTATGTAAGAAAAATAAAAGCACTTTAAAAAAATTTTAAGTACTCCACGGGGAAATTTTAAAGAATTTCAATACCTTAATATCTTTCAAATTCTGTGCTTTTTTCCCTACAGTACTATAGAAAAAATTTAAGTCAATATTAAAAAAAACAAAAAAAATATTTTTCCCTTTGTAAAAACTGAAAAAGGTTATACAAAAAAAAAAAAAAATTAAATTCTGGTGGGGTTTTTTTGGTGAATACTGAATTTTGATTTGACCTGCACATTAAAAATTTCCAAAACCAAAACCTTTTTTTACCAAAAAACCCCCCTTTAAATAAAAAAAATTTTTTTAAAAAAAAAAAAAAGGAAAAAAAAGTTGGGTGGTTTTTTATTTCCCAAAAAAAGAAAAAAAAAATTTTCTGTTTTTGAAATTTCGAAAAAACCTAATTTTTTTCCTTAAAAAACCTTTTTTTTTTTTTTTTTTTTAAATTGGGGCAAAAAAAAAAATTTTTTTTTGGGGGGGAAAGAAAAGAATGCGGGTGGAAAGGAAAACCTTTTCCTTTTTTGGCTTAAATTTTTTTTAAACCGGGAACCTTTTTTTGAATTTTCTTTTTCAAAATTTTTTTTTCAAAAATCATTGGGGGCAAATATCAAAAAAGAAAATTCAAAAAAGATGTGTAGGTTTTTTTTTAATAAAAAAAATGCAAATGGCAGATTGCACATTAAAATTATGCATCCCCCATTGTAATTCTGTAAAAATTGTGTAAACAATTTTTTAAATCAAAATTAAAGAAATTTTTAAAATTTTTGCACGTACACAAACCTATTTTTTTTTTTTTTTTTTTATTTTTTTCAGTCATAAAACCCATCTACTGTAATATTTTCAAGTGTTGTACAATATGCTCCCAACAATGACTAAAATTTAAATAAATAATACCCCTTTCAGTTACAGTGGAACCTTAGAAACGCCCAGCCCCAACCAAAAATTTATGTACAGTGGAGCTAAAAAAACGAACGTATCAATATCGAACGTTCAAAAATAAACCATTTTTTGGGACAAACTGTGTCCCATTATGAACGCGCCTGTATTTGGGACCGCCGGGTATGGACCTGTCCCTGGCCCGCCGGGGTCCCGTCCCCCCCAGGCGCCGTGAGCAGTCACTTTTTTTATGCTTGAGGAAACCCAAAAACCAGCAATCTCTTCACACACTATTTTTTAATTTGTTTAGTGCTTGGGGGCGTGAAATAAGTCCGGCCCAAAGAAACTTGCTAGCGGAAAAAAACCCCCCTTGGGTAAAAAAGTGAAAACACCATAGAGTGAAAAAGGGAAAAATAATACAAAAGTAAGTAGTTTTTTTCAGGTAACACAAATACAGTTACATAAAAATTATCATACATAGCAGCATATGTGTAGAGAATCTAGGGAAACCCCAAAAAAGTCAGACTGAGGACTTATTTCCCATTGGGTCCTTAAAATTTTATTTAATAAAAAGGGTTTTTAAAATATTTTTTTTATTATTCATAATAAAAGATAAAAACTTTATTACATACAAAAAGACTATTACAACAAGGGTCATTAAAACATCTAAAAAACGAGGGTCATTATAGGAAAAGGAAAAAATTTACACTATGTTGCTAAAAAAAGAAATCTTCCCCTCCCTTTCTGTAGCTCATCTCGACATTTTTTTGGGCACTCTTCTTAAACTGGTTCATGCAAAGACTGGCTTTGAATTGGGGGTAGTCTGTTCCATTCCTTTTTTGCTGTACAAAAAAAGGTTTTTTGAAGCCTGGCCAATGATGGGGGTACACAAAGTTGTGCTCTTCCCCTAGTACTATATTGTTTTGGTTCCCAATTTTTTTGAAAAAAATTGCAGCAAGATTTCTGGACACTGTTAGGAGAATTTTATAAACATGATTTAGCTTCATTTGTTTTATCTGTCTTCAACATTCAGCATATCCAAACTGCTGTAATTCTTCCGGGCCTAATGTTCTCTTGGCCCCGCCCCA